TGGCATCTGCAACCCCCCTCATTACCCGTCCGCAAGCTAGATGCGTGAACATGTATCCAGTACACCATTACGGCCTTTGGGAGACCTTGGCATACGACAAAGCTCCTTTTTGCGCGCTCAACCCACCGGGCGCCGGTTCTAGAAACGTTCCTGCATTGGAACGTATAGTAAGATTCGATGGCAAGACTGCAGCCCGGATATCTGTACCGCCTTGACATGGAGGGAGGGGCGCTGGGAACCGATCAGTAGCGCGGGCCGGGACGGGCCTAAACCCCCCAGTCCCTCTTTCCTCTTCAGCATATCCAGAATCAGCACTTGTTCAGTAATACACCCAAGTGGCTGCTCTACTTTCCCTTCAGTCAGCCGCTTCAACTATGCACCTACGCGTTGCCACTGTACGTGCCCGTCGGGTCAGCAATACATCCATGCAGGTTCCACAAGCCGCAGCTTGCATGAGAAACAACAAGGTCTGCTTCCCTCCCCTTTTCCATTGACCTATTTTTCCTTTCCACCGTTAGGGAAGGCTGCAGGAAGGCGTCAAAACCACCATTGCATGAAGGATCGGAGCTCGCGTTCGACACCAACTCAGATCGAGCTCGTATCTGGCGGTAGATGCGCCAACGGTTGCGGAAGGCTGCCGATTCTGCAGCAGAGTGTTGAGCAGTTGAAGGGCCGGGGAAGGAATAGACATGTTTGCGTATGCGGCAAGCTCCTTTCGAATGATGGCGATGGTTTATGAGTGCTGTCACTAATTACCATAGGGGCACCATACATTGAGCTACACTGAATACATCCAACAAAGCATGCATATGATAAGGAAAAACACCGAGACGACTCGTCACTCGCGAGGGGGAAAAAAAAAGAGGGGTAGAGAGAGGTATGTTTTTGCGGAAATGGCTAGGGGTTTGATTTAGCCTATCCGTCGTCGCTACTGTTGCTGGTAGGAAAGTGTGAACTTGCTCACCACCTCCTTTCACGCGCAGCTACTCTCTCACGGGTCCAAACCGACTTGCGGTCCGCCTCAAATGCGGGTTGCAGCTGGGATGATGCCGGCGGCCCAGCGTGCGGCTGCAGGTGGTAAAGATGCAATCAAGGGGCAGCACTAGAGTGTGACCTCCTGTACCGTGCCGTCATCCATGGCCGCCGCAATCGTCATACACATCAGCTGCCTTGGCCAGAACGGGACAGCAAGGGAATCTGTGAGACGATCTTTTTCCCACGCTGTCGTGCTGCCATACCATGCCCCGGGGAGTATAGGGGCATTGGAAAAAAGCGCTTAGGCCTCCCGAAAAGGGATTGACGGGCAGGATCAGATCATGGGTTTCGTGGCTGATCACGTCATTCATCCGGGGACTTTTTTGGATAGGAGAAGGGGAGCGAGTGGCGGCGGCGGCGACCGTTACGAGGGTCTGTAAGCCATTATCGAGATCTCCCAAGATGACGCTCTGCCCGGTGGGCGGCGTCTCCTGCATGATCCAACGCTTTGTGCCTAGCAGCACACTTCGGCTTCCGGAAAGTGCGCATACAAGTCGAAGCCGGGGCTTCTGGGCCGCGACGTTCTGACCGTCATGTTCCGTGTGCGCCATGCGCGTGCCTAAAGGACAACTGACTAATGTTGTCCCAGCCCAGCAAGAAAGCCGCCGCCCCAAACCACCTTCTTCATCTGGCTGAAAGGGACGTTCAGGGTCAATTCCCAGCGTAACCTCGCATGACAATCTGCGGCATGCCGTTGTGAGATCATGAAGCCGCGCAATGGGCTGTGTTCTTCCCACTTCCCAGGTCCAGCACCGTAGCATATCATCCATCAGCTTTTTCCCCCACCTCCCCCGACTTTACGGGGGAGGCCGCTCGCTCGTACTACTACCTTTCCGTGCGGCTCTCTCCCCTGTGGACAGACCGACAGATGCTGCGACACTTTGGACCAACAAACTCTCCTCAGAATACTCAAACTATGACCACCAGCTGACCAGAGGGCAGCGGCCCGCGAACCGACCGTTGCCCCCAGCGCAGTCCAGCCCATCACTACACACCATCTCCAACCCAGCCCAACCCAGTCGCAGCCCACAGCCCACACTCCAATGGCCGCAGATTCGAAAAACGTAACCAATCACATCGTGCAATACTCCATAATTCATTCCAGCCACACAGCACACACACACACACACCCCCAACCCAACCCATCCAGCACTCAACCTGAAAAAAAGAGAGATGGATGCTTTTTGTTTTTTTCCCCCACCCACCCATCCATTCCTTTTCGCAGCCCTGCATACATTATGCTTCTCTTGATAATAATCCCCGATTGCCCGCATCAAAAAAAAAAAAAAAAAACTCTCCCCATCTCCTTAGCCCGAAACGCGGCGGCGGCCCGCCCGCGCCTACCTACCACACACACCATCACACGTCGTTTTTTTATTCCCACCACCATTACCACCAGCAGCCGCGCCGCGCCGCGCCGCGCGCGCATTCCCGCTCGTTCCGTTCAGGCGAGCCGGACGTCTCCACACACACACACACACACACACATAATGCGCGCGGATGCAGGCGGGCCTGATGGGAGCTGCAGGATCGATCGTGGTGCAGTAGCGCTGCGGCCTTGATGGGTGAGGCGAGCCGCCGTTCGCGTCCCGGATTGACCGGGACGGACGGATGGAAGGATTGAGGGAAGGATGAGTTATTATGGGGAAGAGAGAGGGAGAGAGAGAGAGAGAGAGAGAGAGAAAGAGAGAGACAGAGCGGGCGGGTCTCGGTCTAGATGCTGCTGGTTCTGTTGCTGGTGCTGGTGCTGGTGCTGGTGCTGGTCGGCCCTACCTACGTGCGAGCTTTGGTGGGGGGAGGGGGAGGGAGGGAGGAAGTCGAGAGCGCTTGGCCCTGCATGAGTGAAGGCAGTAGCAATGCAAGCACGCGGCTCGGGAAGTGGAGCGGACTCTCCTCGATTGTTCCCTTTTTCCTTTTTTTCGTTCGTAGGTACCGCTCGGCGTGGAAGCCGAGCCCGCGTATGTAGGTGTGTGTATGTATGTATGTATGTATGTAGCATACGCACGACCCGTGACATGGGAGGAAAGCTCTCAGACGTAGCTCTCGCACCCCACCACGCAGCAGCGAGCCTCTTGTCCCCTTCCCTTCCCAACACCCTCCGTCATGTGCATTTCATCAGCTGGCCGGCGACAGTTGTCAGTCAGGGCCCCGACCCAGGCACTAGTAGCGCAAGACCAACCCCTGCGGCTAAAAAAAAAAAATAGAATTGCCATGTGAAAACGAATGGATCCGATGGCATTATTTTTGGCATGATGAGAGAGGACGTTCAGGCACATGTCACCCTAGCTCTAAGAGCGAATTTCTTTTTTTTGTTTTCTTCCCCTGTGATCCAATGCCCATGTAGCCTCTTTTCGGTGCCAAATCTCCACCGCGTGGAGTTTTGTTATTTGTTTTTTTCTTTACCCGCCGGCCCCGGCAGCCGGCGGAAGGAAAGGAAGGGAAGGGGGGAGGGGGGGAAAAGCACGGGGGAGGTTCGTTGATTCGTTCGGAACCGCACTGCCGAAGTAGACGGCAGATCCGAAGGGAAAAGCAAAAAAGCCGAGACCGTTCCTGTCCATGTCGTCAAAAAAGAACAATCTCCGATGATGAAGGCGAGCTGGAAGAGGCGGCCGACATCTCCGGCAAGGGAGGGGGAGGATGATGGTGGAACCATGGCTTCCCGTAGTGGTGGTAGTAGCGAAATCTTGAGGCGATGGTCGTCTCCGCTAGCAACATGTAATCGTAATTGGGGTTCGGGCTTTACCCTGGTGCCGTCGGTTCCGCACCACAAAGTCAACAGGGCGTGTTTCATGTTTTGCAAGTGCATTCTGCAAGCTCGCCAGCTAGCATCCTTGTTCACTGCTTAGCGCCGCTAAGGCCGTTAGCCGAGTCCATAGCTGCCGTAGACTATTACTCTATTTCGTCGCCGGGTTTCGTATCTTGCGTGCGGGTGCCGCAGCTGTAGAAAGTCTGTTTGGAAATTAAAGATTGAAACCACCTGCCCGGTAAAACGCATCCAGCCGCCACGTTGGACATACTGGACAAAACGCGGTCTGGACTCCTGAGGGCAGCGGAGTTGATGGTCGAAAGAAGGTTGTTTAAATAGCTCATGCACGGCGCACGTAGAGGCCAGCAAAGTAAAGCATACAACCCACTCACTCATCCTCCAAAGCCTATTCCCGTCTCATTGACACCAATCCCACCGGCAACGACGGCCCGATCGGAGCTCACAGCACAGGGACAACAATAACAACAATATTGCCACGAGAGCACCTTCCTTGAGAAAACAATATTCAATTTCTCAACTACCTGATGAGAAAGCCGTCCATACCACCATCCCGTCATTACAGCTTCTCCGTGTACATACCTCGATACCGGTAGCGCAGCCCTTCTGCTGCAAATAGACAGACACCATGGCGGCCCGCATTGCGAAAGACATTATCTCCGTGTAGCAGCAGCAAAAAGGACCCTTCTGACGGGGGAACAGGGAATGAATAACGAAGAACAGAAAAACTGAGCAAACAAACAGGGATCGGTACTTGGAAAAGGAAAAAAAACTCTTCATGGAAAGGAACTGTTGTAGTAGTAGCTGCGTAATGGTATGTGTGTCTTGCTTGTGTAGAGTATAAGCGCAAAGAGTAAGTGTGAGAAAGTGATTTGCGTTCCTCATGACTTCATCCCCCAACCAATCCATCACAGACGTAAAGCGTGTTAAATGAAAGAGAAAACTCCCGTCCACCGCCCATCCTTCCCATAACTATGTCTTCGTCACTCCGTATCAAGTCGTCGATCTCCTACGCAATTTTTTTTTTTGGTCATCATCCACCACCTGCATCTTACCACCAATGCTCCGGACATCCCGGACGCGTTGACTTCTGTCAGATATCATGGTTATGACGTAGAAGCGCGAAGTTTCTCCGTCCCAACAAGACAGAAGAACCTCAACCTCGATGTGAAGCGAGAGATGTGTAGATAGCATGAAATGCCTACAACTCGTCCCTCTTCGACGTCGCCTGGGCAGCAGCAGACTTCTCCTTATCGGAGAGGCTGCTCGCCATCTCATCGACGACGCTCTTCGCCTCCTCGAACTTCTCGTTCGCACCGTCTCCCGCAACGACCGCGTATTCTCTCAACCGAGCGCGCGCGCTCTCGACCACCTCTTGCAGGCGGCTGGTGGCGCTCTCCAAGGCACCCTGCTGAGGACCGTAGACGGCCTCGCTGACCCGGCTCGCGGCGGCAGCGTAGCCGTCACCGACCGCCGAGCTGACGGCGGCGGCGCGGTCACCAGCGGCTGCGAGGTTCTCTTCAGCGGCGCTCGAGACGGCGGCGGAGACCGAAGAGTAGACGTTCGCGGCAGTGGCCGAAGCCGCTTCCACGGAGCCCGTGGGTGTGCCATAAATAGCGATCGAAATGGCCTCTTGAGCCGAGAATGCGACGTCAGCCAACGAGCTCTGCGCCGCCTCGGCGTAACCGGTCTGTGTGCCGTAGACTGCTTCGCTGGCTTGGGACGAGGCGGAGCTGTACGCGCTGCCGGCTGCCTCGGTGGCCTTTTCGTAGGCTCCCTTCTCGGTGCCGTAGATCTGGATGCTGACGGCATCCACGGCTGAATTGATCTGGTCGTTGGCGGATCCGATGATATCTTCGAGCGCAGCGGGGGGAGTGAAGACGGATGAGACCACCGAGGAAGCAGACTCGTATGCCTCGCTTGCGTAAGACGAGGCAGACGATGCTACCGCAGGATAGCCGGTCTGATACACGGATTGGAAGCGGCTCATCACGCTCTCAGTGAAGTCGGGCTCCTTGCCAACAACGAGCTCAGACACAAGAGATTGGACAGCCGCATACTGCGCTGCTGCGGCCTCAGTGGCCTGTGCCCCATAAGCGCCAGCTTGTGAGTAGACAGACTCGGCCCAGGGGGTAGGAGCGCCGTAGACCTGTTCGCTGGCTCTAGCCACCAACGATTCCCAGTTCTCTGCGGCCTGCGAGGCAACAGACTCCGTCCAGGGAGTCTCCGAACCCACAACACCTGAACTCGCTGCAGAAGCCACGGACTCGGCCTTCTCTGAAACGGCCGAAGCGGCAGACTCGAAAGCTCCCGTTGAAGTTCCGTAAATGGCACTACTTGCCTGTGCCGAAGCAGCAGAGAAAGAGGCAGCAGCTGCGGACACGGCGGCATCGTACTGGGAAGACGCGGAATCCAAGACGCTTTGTGCCGGTGGCTTGCTGGTCTGGCCGGCCACGGAGCTGGCAGAAGCGAGCAAATCTTGGAGATGGCTCGAAGCAGCGCCGACAGCAGCTGTGTACTGACTCTGTGCGGCGTTCAGATAGCTCTGGTATGCAGGCGTAGGAGATCCGTACACTGCCGTGGATGCGGCATCGAGGAACTCGGAGTAGCGGGCATGAGCAAGACCAATGCCTTCGTAGTAGCGCCTTTGAGCCTCCGCGACATACTGCTGGTGAACCGGGGTAGGCTGAGCTCCAACAGCGACCTTCGCACTCGAGAGCCTAGGTGATGGTCAGGAAATATCCCAGAATTGGTTTCAGGCGTTGAACTTACTGTGCAGATGCTGCGCTCAGTCCCTCGTTAAGTCTAGAAGAGGCAATTGAAGAGACAGACTCCCACGCACCCTGCGTCGGACCTGCGGCGTAACTCTTGACCGAGTCGGTGTACTTGAGAGCGTTCTGTAGCTTAGCAATAGCAGCCGCGGCCGAGGAAGAGTAGGCATCATTGATAGAGGAAAGAGCCTGCTCATGAGCGGGCTTCGGGGTTCCAGAGATCTTCGCAGAAAGAGCAGACTTGGCTTCTTCATACTGTTCCTTGGCAAGCAGAAGCGCAGAATTGTACTGAGCGCTGGCCTGGGCGCGCAGCGATTCGACGACTGGGGTCGGAGTGCCATAGATGGCGTACGATGCCGCAGTGACAGCCTGAGCGTACTTGTCGGAAGCAACGCTGACAACGCTTTCGGCAGAACCTTGCTCAGGACCGTAAAGTACGCTGGAAGCGGCCGCCAGAGCCTTGGCATACTGCTCGCTGGCCAGAGAAGTGGCCGACTCGACGGAGCCCTGTGTCGATGTGGGCTTCAAGATCGCCTCGCTGATTGCCCGAGTGAGCTCAGCAGCGCGGTCACCGGCCTCGCTGACCATACTCTGAACCTTCTCCGAGTATGTGTCATCATCGGAGTCGTCGATCTCATCCTCGAAAACAATCTGCTTCGCCTCAACAATGGCTTGAGCCATGGCGCCGCCCCACACCTTCTTGACGGACTCCGTGGCATCAGCGCCGGCCTCAGACATAACGGAAGAAGCTGACTCGATACTTGCAGATGCTTCAGAAGCCAAAGACTCGGTGCTGGATGACGCTTCCGAGGCTATGGACTCAGCAGCGGGAGTAGAGCTCCCGATGACAGCTTCGCTAGCCTGGGAGGCGATGGACTCGTAGGCAGGGGTTTCAGATCCAACGGCTGCCTCACTGGCCCGAGAAGCAAGCGATTCGTACGCAGGTGTCTCGGATCCAATGATGGCCTCACTGGCTTTGGATGCGATCGACTCATGGGGAGGAGCCGGTGACCCAAGAACAGCCTGACTGGCCTGATCTTTCTTGAACTTGGCGGCCGAGACAACACTCTGTGCTGCTTCTCCAGCGCTTGAGCTGGCCTTGGAAGCCTTCGAACTTGCAACGGAAGAAATGCTGTCCGTAGCATCTTGGGTTCCCAGGACCGCCTCAGAGGCCTTGGTAGCCGCCTGTTCCGCGACTCCAGGTTCGGTGCCGATGATGTTTTCACTGGCAGCAGATGCGGCGCTTTCCAAACTGCTCGACGCCCCAGAAACCGCCGACTCAACCGTGCCTTGGGAAGTTCCTGCAACAGCCTCGCTAGCATCGCTGGCGGCATTCTGGATTGCATCTTTGACCTTGCGAGCTGCGTTAATGGCCGAGGGGGGGATGACGGTCGACTCAAAGTCATCAGAGCTGTCGTGGGTGTAGAGTTTGAAGCGAGCGACATCCTTCAAACGGACCAATTCCTTTGCAGCTTCTTCAGCAACGGCCATACCGGTCTCTTCAATCTTGACGCCTTCTGCCTTTGCGACCTTGTTATCAGGGTGCTCGTAAGCGACAGCCTGGACCTCCCGGCGCCATTCATCGAACGTCTTCTTCAACGAGTGGTATTTTGACCAGTCTTTGTAGGTAACACCCTCCATCCAGGCCCAGCGCATGCCAATCTCTTGGAGGCCGAGGTCTCTGATGTGGTCGATAACCTCAAGTGTAGACTCGGTAGCTGAGACAATGAGGTGTTGAGTTTCTTGGTCGTAGTTCTGTTTCCACGAGCGAATGGCTTGAGCCTTCTCCTTAATGGCCTGGCCGGCGGCGCGTACTGCGCCCATGAGGCCACCATAAGCAGCTTCGATGTCGTCCTCGTTTGCCTCCTCAGAAAGTGCTTCGACAGCGCTCTTGATCTGTGACTTGAGATCATTGAGCTTCGATTCGGCGGTCTCCTCGAGCTGGACCAGGAAAGCTTGGCCGACGCCGTGAGCTTGGCTGTCAATCTGATGGGCAGTTATCTCCTTGACTCGCTCTTCAAGATCCTCAGCACCCTTATCCGCGGCCTTGGCGAACTTCTCTTGCCATGTCCTGAGGTCCTTGGCCACCTTTTCATGCACGTCCTCGTTCTTGGAATCCTTTGAATCGGATCCCACAGAGCTGCTCGCAGTGGTGCTTGAGGACATGTGAGCAGCAGCGGAAGCCGCGACTGAGGAAGAGATGGACGAGGTGCTGGATGCCGCCGAGGACGATGAAACAGAGCTGTCGACCGATTCGACTGCAGCCTCCAGCTTCTTGCCATCCTTGTAGCGGCCTAGCCTCTCCTTGATTCTCATGAGCTGTGGCTCGACATTGTCGCCGTAAAGAATCCGAAGTTGCGGCCAGACCTGACGGAACACGAAGTTTCCGAGCGAGGAAGCGCCCCAGCGAGCGTACGGGTAGCCGACATCAACGGCGTAGTGGCGTCCTTGCTCGTAGGCATTCTGTGCGTGAGGGAGCACAACTTCGTATGCCGGGACAACCTTGCTGTTATATGTATCACCAACGATGGAGGATGCTTGATCGTAGTAAGGGGAAGCGGCGGCAGAGAATTTGTCAACGTGCGGGGCAAGAGCTGCATCGTACTGTGCCTTTGCTTGGCCCTGAGCCGACTGGAGGCGAGGTCTCAGCGTCTTCTCCCACTCGGCAGAAGCAAATTCCTGGGCCTGTGCGACGCGAGGAGCGCCATAAACCTGGTAGGTGTGCTTGGCAAACTCGGCCGAGGGCGTGTAAATCTGATCGTTGAAGCGGTCGAGGTACGGCTGGGCCTTCTCGACGTGGGGAGCAAGGTAGGTGTTGTAGTATGGCTCGACGTATGGGGCGGCATGTGATTGCACGGTCAAGTAGGGTTTGCACAGCTTAGGAGAGTCGTCGGAGAGGTCGTCGAGAGACTTGGGACAGCGGAAGAGCATGGTGATGATAACATACCACACCGACACGCTACGCAGCGGGGTCAGCTCAAAAATCTCTCGACGGCGGTGCTCTACTCACCGGACGGCGTTGCTGAAGAGCCATGGCGCGAAGCCGCGGCGCCTGGGCGGCTGCTGCTTGGGCTTCGACTGGCGAGCGGCAGTTCCGTTCATGTCCTTTGGGTCGGTCAGGTCGCTGGCGCTCTTTGCCGGCCTTTTGACGTGGCCGTTGGTGGAGGCGGCCATGTCGACGCGGGTGGAGGCGCGTGCCGATCGACGCCGCTGGCGTCTGTGCGTGCTTGCTGGGAAAGACGATGCCGTGGGGCGGATGCGCGCAGAACCGAGCAATGCTGGCGAGTAGAGAGGCTCAATGCTGCGGTGGAGGCAGAGCTGGGGCGGGGAGGAAGGGTTGACGGCGTGGTGTCTCAGTGTGTGGCTGCTTGATGCAGTCCGGCACTGGCGCGCAGCTTTGGCAGGGAATCAAGCTATGTGCGATTGCGATTGTTGGCCAAGAACGGCGACAACGCCAACGTCATAGGCTTGCAAGTGCAGCTCGCAGATCCGCTCACGATCAAGCCAGATCGCGGCCTGCAGGGCGCACTGCACTGCAAGAGGCGCCTTATCGTTGCTTGATGCCCCGGTGTCCCCCGCCTGCAACCACGTGCGCGCGCTCTTGCCGCGGAGCTCCAACGCGACGTATGCGACATATGCGACGTATGTGGCTCTGCGGGCTCTGCGGGCTCTGCGATCCGACATGCCTGGGTACCTACAGGCTAAAAAAGAAGCACCGGCGCCGCTTTGCGGGGGTCCACCTGTGCAGTCCCTGAGCCCGAAGTTGCACATGTAGATCAATCTCGGGGACCTTCTTTGCACGCCGGCTTGCTGATGGGCGCCTGCCGCGACTTCCTCCAGAATGCCCTTTTGTCTGCGAGTGAGATGTTGGTACGGTCGGAAGTAAAGCCCAAGGCTGGGGCTTTCGAGAGCTTACCGAGCTTATGTAAGCCCCTACGTGAGATAACCCGGGGTGCCGATGGCGAGGCGCAGGAGCCACTTGGTTCACGGTTGGTCCCTCTGGTCCCTCCATTCCCTTGTCCACCCAAGCTCCGTGTCGGACACGACTCTCCGCAAACAACTCCTTTCCGCTACAAAACCAGCCATCCGCCGCAACTTCCTTGTCGACGCCCTCCCCCACGACGCCTGCAGAAGACCCGCCCGATTTCCTCCGCGTCGCCCGCATCGCCCGCATCGCCCGCATCCTCTTGCGACACTGAGATGATTCCATAGAAGCATCGTCTTCCTGCGGCGCCACGCCCGACCGGTTTCTTTCGACCTTGCCCCGGCTCCCTCAGCTGCCGCCTGACCTCCGCACATTGACCGCCACCTTCGATTTCCTCGTCGACCGCGCCCCGCATCATGGCTTCCGAAGAAGGCGCGTCCGCAGCCGCGCCGCCCCCACCGCCGTCCACCACTCCCGATGTCATGAACGACCCTCAGTTCGATCCTGAGCCCGCTTCCTCCGACAAGACGGCAGACGACCCGGATACTTGCAGGATATGCCGCGGCGAGGGGACCAAGGAGGAGCCACTGTTCTACCCGTGCAAGTGCAGCGGAAGCATCAAATTCGTCCATCAGGACTGTTTGATGGAATGGCTGTCGCACTCGCAGAAGAAGCACTGCGAGCTCTGCAAGACTCCCTTCCGCTTCACCAAGCTCTACCACCCGCAAATGCCCAGCAGCCTGCCCACCACCGTCTTTGTCCGCAGGGCCGTTGTCCACGTACTAAAACATCTAATGACATGGTGTCGCGGCCTCCTCGTCGGGTCCGTCTGGTTGCTGTGGCTGCCGTGGTGCATGCGCGTGATATGGCGTGCGCTGTTCTGGTGTGGTGACGGAGGCTTCGCCGGCGACTTGCACCGTGTATCCAACTACCACCGTCGCTTCGCAGCATCTACCGCCGCTGCCCCAACCAGTGCCGCTGGCGCAAGCGCGACATCGTCCGCGAACCCCACCGGCCTTGCCGTCACTCTGGCTCCCTTCTCTCACTCTCTTCTGAATATGAGCGCCGGCGAGCCGACTGCTTACGTCTTAATCAAAAAGTTTCTCCTTGGCCTGGGCCCATTCCCTGATATCTTCAATGCTTCCTTTACGAACTCGACCGATAATGCCACCTTTACTCATACCATTCCGATCAGGCAGGCTACGCTCCTGTCAGACGTCTCCTTCCTCAGGTCCATAACATCTCATCCCTCAGTCAACCGGCTGATTCTCGACATCATCGAGGGCCAGATAATCACCGTCCTAGTTGTCATCGCTTTCATTCTTATCTTCCTCATCCGTGAGTGGGTGGTACAGCAGCAACCCGTTATAAATGTGGCAGCTATGCAGGCACTCAACAATCCCCCGCCTCACCCCCAACAACCACATCAGGATGCTGGAGAAGATGCCGAGGGAGAACAGGAAGGGCAAAACGAGCAGGACGCAGACGATAGCACTGGAGATGATGATCGCTTTAGCGATGTCTCAGACGAATCGCTGGAGCGATTTGCTGAACTCGAAGCCTCCGCCCACGATGATACTGTCGAACTCGGCACCGAACCGCCGGAAATCGTACGAAAGAACCTCGGTCCCATCCCCGATGCAGACATCCGTGAGGCAATCAGACGGCAGCAATTTGACAAAGTTGCAGCGCTTATTGCCCAGCATGACCCACTGGGCAGGAGAATCCTTAGAAAAGAATTATTCGATTGGATTGAGATGGTCAGCGACAAGGTCAGAGAAGGTCCACGGGAAACGGCATTGGAGAAATGGCTCGAGTTGCGCGATTGGGCGAAGGATTTTGAGGGCGTCATCGTTCCGGCAGCAGCCCTAAATGGTACTTCCAGACCAGTCCTCTTCGAGCCGGATGGGTTCGAGTTAGCCATCGCCGCAAACAAACGCTCTGGAAGCTCCGATGTCATTCCTCCCACAATCGAGAGTGAAGATGACACAACCGGCCTTACTGAGAGCTCGAGTCAACAAAGACCAACAATGCCCGAGCGAGGACAATCATTCCTGGCAACGGAGATACAACGCGATCTGGAAGAAGCGACGCGGAGTTTCGCTTCGTTACCAGAGGCGCCTGAAGAGCAGGTTGCAGATGCGGAAGGGGAACGCCAGAGCAACAGGAGCGAAGGAAGCTGGCAGCAAATCAACGAGTCGGATGTTGAAGGCAAAGATCACCTCACCCCGGAAACCACGGAAGCAGAGGCTTCTAGCCAACCAGAGTCTCAGATTGACAATGGCGAGGGTTCCAGTTCCGCAGGAGCTCGGACATCGGACCAGTCAACAGCATCATTCGCCTCTTTAGCTCCAGCACCAACCGAGCAAACAATCGTACCTGATCGTACCCCTAGTCAGGACAATTCCACCGGTGCAGAGGTGCAACCTCGTCCCAACCAACCAGTTGCAGACGCAAGTCTCTGGGAACGTGTATATGATTGGTTGTGGGGCGACATTGCTCTTACGGACGAGGATGGGGTCCCCGGCGCAAACGAGGAACACGTGGTTCAGAACTTGGCGGATGAACCCCCCTTTGTCCAGCGCGATGCAATTCTAGGCGACGCTTTCGACGATGAGGATGCCGCTCGTGATCCTGAAGTTGCTGCTGCTGCCGCTCAAGCAGGTATCGACGTTATGGATCAAGATGCAGTTGAGGATGCTGAAGACCTTGAGGGTATCATGGAACTCATCGGCATGCAAGGGCCCTTGGTAGGACTGTTCCAGAACGCACTCTTCAGCGCCGTTCTTATATCCGCAACTGTTGCCGTTGCCGTCTGGATCCCCTATCTCTGGGGCAAGGTCGTTCTTCTCTCGCTGGGCAGGCCAGTTTGGTTGTTCCTGAAGCTACCTCTTCGCGTACTGTCAGCGACGGCGGATCTCATCGTAGATTCGGTGCTCTTTGCTGGCGCGGCGGCCCTTTACTGGTCAATTTTCGTTCTTCGGCTTCTGGTGCCCTTCATTGGTTCCCACAAGTCTTTCGACTCAGCTGCCTCATCTACGCGTACAGTCGCTGAATCCGCCATCGAGCGCGTATCAAAAGTGTTCACGATTGCCGGCACGAGCATGAACTCGGACTATCTGCATCTATCCATTAGCTCCCATGCTGCGCTCCGGTCACTGCAGCGCAGCTTCGGCGAATGGTCATACTCCATCTGGACCGGGTTCACTGAGGTTCACAGCAAGATTACAAACATGGAATCCTTCTCTGTGTTTTCTGCACTTGGGCGTTTCATTGACTCGGGCATTTCACTAGGGGCTGCTGTGGTCAACAGCGTCCGCGCATCCTTACCAGCCATTTCAATGACCAACGGCCTTTCTCTGAAACTCGACACCGGGAACAGCACCGTCTCAGCCATAGATTCGAATTTCGAGTATTGGACGCCTAGTGATCGCATCATCGCGATCTTAGCAGGTTACACGTTCTTCGCGATAGCCGGCGCGCTGTATCTGAAGAGGGGTACCCCTTTCACTACATCACAGAATGGCCGAAGAGTGGAAGGCATCATCTCAGAGGTGTTGCAGCAAGCCGGCGGCGTCCTCAAAGTAATCTTGATAATCAGCATCGAGATGATCGCATTCCCTCTTTATTGTGGCATTCTCCTCGATGGCGCCTTGCTACCTCTGTTTGAGGATGCAACAGTCTTCTCTCGGATTGAGTATGCTCGAACTTCTCCTTGGACCGCAGGATTCGTCCATTGGTTCGTTGGCACCTGCTACATGTTCCATTTCGCTCTGTTCGTGTCCATGTGCAGGAAGATCATGCGAACCGGTGTTCTCTACTTCATCCGAGACCCAGATGATCCAACTTTCCACCCCGTCCGCGACGTGCTTGAACGGAGCGTCACTGGCCAATTGCGCAAGATCGCCTTCAGCGCCTTTGTGTATGGTGCGTTGGTCATCTGCTGCTTGGGTGGAGTGGTTTGGAGTCTATACTACGGATTCACCGGCGTACTCCCGATCCATTGGGCGACGAACGATCCGTCAATGGAATTTCCACTGGACTTGCTCTTTTTCAATTTCCTCACGCCACTGGTCATCAAGCTGTTCAAGCCCAGCGATGGCCTTCACGAGATGTACCGGTGGTGGTTCCGCAAGTGTGCGCGGGCCCTTAGGCTTTCCGACTTCCTCTTTGGAGAGAAGGAGCCGGATGAACGTGGTCGACACGTCAGGCGTACTTGGTCAGCCTGGCTCCAGCGGAAGAGGGGCAACGTTGACAAGCCTGTGATTGGCCGCGATCGTCAAACACTGGCAGAAGATCGGAACACTGAGGTGTACTTCCTTTTCGATGGGAAGTATGTTCGTGCGCCAGCCTCAGACCAGGTCCGCATCCGCAGGGGTCAGTCTGTGTTCGTTGACGTCGATGTATTCGACCATCGTACGGACGGAAGGCCTGAAGATGACCCAGTCCACGGAAAAGACTCTGGCTTGACCCAGACGGTGTACATCCCGCCACTTTTCCGCTTCCGTATTTGCCTCTTCGTTGTCGCCATCTGGCTCTTCGCTGCAGCTACTGGCGTTGGCGTCACCGTGATACCCCTGCTCTTCGGCCGCCGTCTCTTTTCCAGCCTCATGCCCGAAGGTTCCCACATCAACGACATCTACGCATTCTCCGTCGGCGTCTACGTCCTCGGCGCCGCCGCCTACGGCATCTTCCACCTGCGCAACATCTTCAGTCTCGCCGCCGACTCGGTCCGCCACCCCTTCAACACGACCTACTCCACCTTCTCCACCCTCGGCCAGTACGCCGCGCAGACGGCGTCCGTCATCTACGTCTACAGCGCGCTGATCCTGCTCCTCCCCGTCCTCTTCGCCATCTTCCTCGAATTCTACATCCTCATCCCGCTGCACGCCTACCTCGGCCCCGGCGAGACGCACGTCATCCACATCATCCAAGACTGGACGCTCGGCTTCCTCTACGCGCGCATCGCCGCGCGCGTCCTGCTCTGGAACCCGCGCTCGCTCATCTCGCGCGCCCTCCACGCCGTCGTCCGCGAGGGGTACCTCCGCCCCAACGCCCGCCTCGCCACCCGCGCCTTCGTCCTCCCCGTCGCCGCCTTCTTCGCCGCCACCCTCGCCCTCCCGCTCGCCGCCGCCCACGCCGCAAACGCGACCTATTTCGCCGCCGCGCCCCAGAGTGCCAAGACGATGGTGTACACGCTCGTCTATCCGCTCGCGCTGTCGGTCGGGCTCAGCGCGTGGGTCGCGTGGGGCACGGTGCGCGCGACGGAGCGCTGGAGGCAGCGCATCAAGGATGAGGTGTATTTGATCGGGGAGCGGTTGCATAACTTGGGGGAGAAGCGGGCGGGGTCGGGGATCGTGACGGCCCCGGCGGCTGCTGGTGTCGAGGCGTGAGGGTGCGGATGTGGATGCGGATGCGGATGCGGATGCGGGTGGAAAAATGAATGATGGGCGGGGGGTTTAATGGGTAATTCAAGGGGAGATGGAGGGGGTTGTTGATGATGATGATGGGCTTCTCGGGAAGCTCTTTTTAAATGGGAGGGGTGGTCCTTTTTCTTTTTTCTTCTGCCTTTTAACGCTTCTGAATTGGCGTTCGCTCTGCACCACGCATAAGATGAAGTGGTCATCGTACACAAAGGCTGCAGAGAATGATGGTAGTTTATGGTTTGTATGGGTTATAGAATATTATTGAATGGTTTCTTTTACTTTGGTGTTTGGTGCGCGCTTGTGGTATGTGGAGTGTGCACTTCCAGATTGGTACGAGGGTCGGTCACGGCTTCCTTTCTTACCTCAAGCATGACGAGGACGTCCACGAGTATGTCAAGACGACGAAATCCGTCATCCCCGTCCTTCTCGTCGTCGGTTTCCAAGCCGCACTGTCATTGGCTTCGAAGACGTTCCTTCCCCTTCCAGCTTCACACACCAAGAATATTTTTCTTCTTATGCGCCGCGCATCTACTCGACCTCGCACCTTAATAGCTCCTCACCTGATGGATGTGAGATAGACTACTATCGCGTGATCGTGTGCGAATGAAGCAATACTTTAGAATCGCACTGGGGGGTGGATCCAAGGTCCGTGTCCATTGAAGAGTGCGGCTCGGTTACTTATTCATCCAAGGAATACAGTTGTATCTAACACCTTCTTTTGGAACTCAGGAGCGCGAAAATGGCATTGTTGATATTTCACACGATTATCCCGAGGCTGTGAAGGCCATGATCGAGTTTCTTACTTTGCCGACTACAGTATCGACGATGCCCAAGATATCCCTGACCGAGTTCTTTCCACACTCGACATCTTCAAACTTGCTCGTATCTATCTGCTAGAAGAACTTGAACAACACGCGGAAGAGACTGTTCGTCCCCGATATAGTCATTCAGGTGCTTCCGGAGATGGTAAGTGTTTTCACGGATCACTACTGCGGTACTATATTGCGGACTTACTTGTGGAAGAAGATACAAAGGACACAATGCTGAAGAGAAGCCCAGTGATCAGAGTAAAAGAGGGGAAGTAGCGTAGGCTGTATGCTACCTTGGTGGCGAGCTGAAAAGGAAAGAATCGAGGTCGGCATGGTACGAGGAAATGGCTGTGTTGCAACCCTTTGCTCGAGCTCTCCAAATACCCTTCCAAACGAGTGCTCCGCTTTGATGAAGAAGGCGCCTTAATTTTCAGCAAAGCCGTGTCCCACGCGGAAGATCAAGGCATTCTACGTGTCTTCTTTAAACCACTGTCTCCTGATAAAGGCGGCAAAGCTGAGAGTGGAGGTTCCTCTGCCGTCCAACCAAATCAGTCTCTCAACAGCATACTCAACACGCATCCACTTCAGCCAACCGTCTCTTTCAGGGTTCCCTGATCTCGGATTTCTACTTTCATTTTCCCTTCAAGCGTTTCACAAGACTTTTCGGCAGTCATCCGAGTTCCCGTCCAGTGTATCGCTCGGCTGTCGTCTCTTCCCCCTCTATTCTATTGTCGTACTTGATTCATATCGAATATGAATTTTTTCGATGCACATGAATGAGACTTCCTCGTGTGTGGTTTGTGAATGCTGATGTAACGGCGCATCGACAGTGCACCCCACCCTTACGGCCACGGCAGCGATCGCCCCCCGTTGATAGGGCGAGATAAGCACATGCAACCTAGCCAACCACCGAGTCCTAGCCCAAAAAGTCCGGGGCATCTCCAAGCAAGGAATGGCGCGAGCAAATCAGTCTCGGCTCGCCCGTCAGGACGACCCTATCTACACTGAGCCGTCCCGTCGTCGGTATCGCCGCCTCTGTGTGTCACAAATGTCTCTGCGTAACAGCGAGAGTTGGTGCACTATATGATGCCCCCCTCTCCATGGTCCGACGACCTACTCAGCTCCTGGTTTGTGTGACAGACTCTCACAGCACCATGGCTAATTCATCAACTGACGACAGCAATGGCGCCGACGCTAAAGTCTTTGGCGAAGGGATCAAAGATGATGCCGTCCTCGAGACGTTCGGATATGAACAGGGTTCGTTGGCCGTATGCGCTAAGCCTCAAAGGTCGGTGGCTAACGGTGGGCGCAGAGCTGAAGAGGACTTTCGGTGTTGTCGGCATGATCGGATTCAGCTTCAGCATCGTGACGTGCTGGACCGCTCTCTCCGGTGTCCTCATCGTCGGAGTGGAATCAGGCGGGCCCCCGGTCATGATCTGGTCCTGGGTAGGCGTTTGTGCTGTGTCTCTGGCCGTCGCCTACTCGATGGCCGAGATGTGTTCGGCGTACCCAGTCGCCGGAGGCCAGTACTCGTGGGTTTTCATACTGGCGCCGAAAAGATGGGCGCGCGGGCTATCGTATGTCTGCGGATGGTTCATGCTGATTGTAAGCGTCTCGTCTTTTTGCTGGATGAAATACGACTCACTCATCACCCAGGGCATTCTGGCAATGGGAGCGGTGAACAACTTCATCTGTACGTGTCCAATTCGTCAAGGAACAAGCATGGCCGCAGACTGACGGAAAAGAAAGGCGCCAACTTCATCCTCGGCATGGCCAACCTCAGCAACCCGAACTACACCATCGAGCGGTGGCACACGGTGCTCGTCACGTACCTCATCTGCACGCTCGCCACGCTCTCCAACATCTTCCTCCCGCACCTCCTCAACCGCATCTCCAAAGCCATCCTGCTGTGGAACATCTGCTCCTTCCTCGCCTGCACCATCACCATCCTCGCCACAAACACCGACAAGCAACCCGCCTCGTTCGTCTTCTCCTCGTTCCAAAACACCACCGGCTTCCCCGCGTCCTACGCCGCCATCCTCGGCATCCTCCAGAGCGCCTTCGGCATGTGCTGCTACGACGCGCCCGCGCACATGACCGAGGAGATCCACGACGCGCGCAAGCAGGCGCCGCGTGCCATCGTGCTGTCCGTCTGGCTCGGCGGCGTGACGGGCTTCGTCTTCCTGATCGCGCTGTGCTTCTGCATGGGCAGCGTCGAGGCGACGGCGGCGTCGACGACGGGCGTGCCCGTCATCGCCATCTTCCACCACAGCACGCAGTCGGTGCCGGCCGCGTGCGCGCTGACCAGCCTCATCACCGTCATCGGGCTCGTGTGCGCCAACAGCCTCACCGCCGAGGGCGGCCGCGCCGTCTACGCCTTCGCCCGCGACCGCGGGCTGCCCTTCTCCGGCGCAGTGGGCGCGGTCCATCCGACCCTGCGCGTGCCCGTGGGCGCGATTCTGGTCACGGCCGTCGTGCAGGCTGCCTTCGACTCCATATACTTCGGCACCGTGACCGGCTTCAACACCGTCATTTCCATCGCCACCGAGGGCTTCTGTGAGTCTCCCCCTCTTTTTGAACCTTTGTTGTGTCCTGACTGACGTGCCACCACAGACGTCTCCTACGCCATCCCCCTCTTCGTCCGCATCCTCGCGCGTCTCGACCCGACGTCCAAGCCCCTCGTCGCCCCTCACTACTCGCTCGGCCCTTGGGGCGGATTGTTTGCTAATGTCGTTGGCTTCGTTTATCTTGCTTTCGCCGTCATTACGTTTAACTTCCCAACTGTGGACCCTGTTGATCGGGAGAATATGAATTATACCTCTGCAGCGGTGGGGGTGGTTATGATCATTGCGGCGGGGACGTGGGTCACGACGGGGAGGAAGCAGTATTCGGGGCCGGAGATGGAAGCGAAAGGGGTGGTTGTCGAGGGTGTGGAGAGGGAGGCCGAGGCCGAGACCGAGGCGGAGGAGAGTGGGGGGCAGGAAAAGATGGCGGCACGGTGATTGTGCGGTAGAGGGGGGACGGGGTTGCGGAAGAAAGTTGAAGCTTTCCAGCTCTTTTGCTGGCCATCTATAACACAGACAGCAGGACGGACCGCGAGTAAGTATCCAATAAAATAGCCTTCAAAACAACTGTTATGACAAGCCGTTCGGATTCTCATGCTACATCACCTCTTCCCGTCTGTCACGCTACAACACACCTCTTCAACACCCTCCCTTCCACCTCGCTCACCTCCCTCTCGTCCCCATCTCGACATCCATCCCACTCCCTACCGAATCCCTCCTCGTCCGGCTCGACCGCGAAACCGCCTCCTCATCCACGCACACACAACCTCCACCATCACCACCAACCCCACCCTCACCCTCACCCACCCCCGCGCCCCCCGCCCCGGCCACCAACTCCCGCTCCGACTCCACCGACAGAAAAAACAAACTCTTGCTCCCGCGCCTCCCCGGCCACATACTGCCTTGGTCTCCCCGCTCCCCAACCCCCCTCTCCCCGATCCCCCGCCAACTCCTCAACGTCTCACTACCACTTCCACTTCTTCCAGTCCTCCTCCTTCCTTCCCCACACCCAAACGCCCCAGATACTGCCCTCAGCGCGCGCCGCAGCGGGTTCTTGAGCGCGGGGGCGGACGCGCACACGGCGCCCAGGCAGGCCTCGACGAGGGTGAGGGCGAAGACCCAGCGCGCGGCCCAGGTGACGTCGTAGGTGGCGTAGAAGACGTGGTGGAGCTTGGCGGTGCGGAGGAGGGCGCAGGCGCATGTGCTGTGTATTTTTGGGGGGTTTGATTTTAGTGTTGGTGGTCGTTTTGGTTGTTGGGGTGGTGGGAAATCTGGAGGGGAGGGGTAGGGGGAGGGGGAGGGAGAAAAGATTGAGGGGAGGGGAAAAGATAGGGGAGAGGGGAAGACGACGTACAAGATTCCCAAGCCAAACACAAAGGACAGGGCGAGCTTGGAGCGGGGCGAGATGCGCAGGTCCCAGAAGAGCGCCATGGGGAGGACGCAGGCGGTGAGGTCTTGGAGGGCGGAGAGGGCGGCGGCGATGACCTGCTTGGCGCCTTCGTCGACGCAGCGGTAGTCCGGGTGGGCGGCGGTCCAGCGGGGGTCGGCCTTGAGCCAGTAGGCGGCGATCGGGGTGCATTCGAAGGGGAGGGCGAGGGCGAAGGCGAGCGTGTAGCAGGCGATGAAGCCGATGTTGAGGTTGATGGTCGTGCGGAACCAGGGCTTGACGGCTCCGATGCGGCGGTAGAAGAGGAGGATGGAGATCTTGATGAGGCCGCAGGTCGAGAGGGAGAGAATGGATATGGAGAGGACGAGCTGGTTTTGGTGGGCGTGGTGGTCAGTGAGGGGGGCGTTGATGTGGCTGCGATGTATATCACCTTTCTGCTCGGCGCGATCAGGTCCACGGTCAGGTCCCAGGTGTGGCGATCGAAGCCGTATAGGTGCTCTGCTGGATGCTTGGTCAGGCTTTCCGCTCCGACCTGCGGGGAAAAGGTTGATCCCTACAGAGAATGGTGCATATGCAGAGTCCGGTCAACGGAAACTTTTCGGGTCAGTACGCTTGGCCGTGTTAATTTGCGAGAGTGTGGGAGTGACGTACAAGGGAAGCCACCATGAGAAGGTCATCGAGCCCAGCGTTACGCCTGACGAATGCGCGGTCGTATAATCTAGCGAGAACAACGACAAAGGCGATAGGCGTGAAGACGAGACTGATGACGGTAAGAGAGCGCTCGGCACGGATGCCGTGGGGATATGCGTCCGTCTGCCAAGCCGCGACCAACTCGGGCGGAGCAACTACGCCGCCAGGCATGGCTCGTTTCTTGTTTCGGATAGAAGATGGATCAATGGGAGCAGGCGTCTACATGTTAACGGGACAATGTTCCAAGTTGCTCGGCTTCAGCCGGTCAACATCACGGTGGGGGCCCTCTTTAGTATGTACGACAGGGTTTAGGCCCACCACCCAGTGACCATGTTCATGATGGCTAGCGACGCGTTGTGTTTTCCTGTTTGGGGACGCAAAGTGGGGATGGATAGTAGGTCTCAAAGTCTATTTGGAAGGACGGTGAAGCTAGAGAGTAGCGTGATTTTGGCTGGCGATCAGGAGTAAATCGACCGGCATGGCCTATCGAATCACGTAGACAAGGCCGACGGGGTGGTTGCATTCCCTGCGCGAGCCCATCATCATTGGCTGCACTGGAATGCCTGCAGTCTTGACAAAAACGGCGGCTGACGCGTGTGCGAGAGCAGGATTCTGTGTGAACGCGGCCGCTTACCATTTGGAGGATAGCTCCAGCAATAGCCGCGGCTGACGGCACGGCTCTCACCCGCAATCCTTAGTGTGGTCGTTTGAAATGGAGGGAAAATTAGGTTAGCCAACTACCCTTTGAGTGACGTGTGCAGCATCAGGTGGTCTTTGGCGCCTTTTCGCTAGTGTTTCAGAGTCGAGACCTATTGACCAGACCCTCGGACTTTCCAACCTGGTTTGCGTACGTGTCCTGGAACAAGGCATTGTTTCGCAGCCTCCTCTCAGCCGAGTAGCATCCCGGAATGAATACACGTCTAACAAGGACCAAGTCGTACTCTCTTGTATTGATGATTGGAACAGCCGGGCCGTGGTGTTGAGAATGAGCATGATTCGCGCATGGGCCATATCAGCGCTAACCAGGACGGGAAATTGATGGTACTACACCACGCCAAGGATCGTGACCGAATCCACTGGCTGGACCGCCATGAAACCAATTCGAAACTTTAAAGCACCGGGCAGGTCGGCGCTGTGCTGGTGGGTGAGGTGACGGGAACGATGGTGAAGATAATCTTAGAGGTTGGAGACAAAGGTGGTTGTACGGTTTTCTTGAGGAAGAACGATGGTTTTTTGCGTCTCACTCTCAATCTGTACGACATTCTTCCTGGAGTAGTGCACTCACTACCGAGGTCCTCAGTGTCATCCAGAGCCGGACTGCAGTGTTGTGAAACAAAGATGCCAAGTCGACCTGACTTATGCATTGTTCCATGGTTGAACATCAACCTGTCGCAAAGCTCGTAACCACCGGAGCGTGCGATGCTACGATTCGTTATCTTTGGTCCCGTGATTCTTGATATGCCTTCTAGAAAGCCACTCGTGCAGAGCGCACCTGCCTTCTCTAATCACGCTAACCATGTTCGGAGCCCGACAGGCCCATCTGACTTCTGGAGGCTTCGAAGATCATCTGCTTCGGACTTGTCTTTACTTCTTCACAACACCAATCCCCCTCTTCGCATGGGAGTCACCCGCGACATCGTCCGTGGCGCCTCGCCACAGCTCAGCGTGGACGCACTAGGTATTACCGCGACCTCATGCGCCGAGTTTCCTTACGGACGCTTTTATCTCGCAGAGAGCGAGGAAAGCTGCTGAAGATGCCAGCCTCACCCAAACAGCCACTGGCTGACACGGAGCCGTGTGAGACAGCCAACACATCGCCGCCGCAGAACCTCACCGAGAAATCGCAAACAATCGTCGCGTATGTGAAAGAGTGGGAACAACTTGTTGCCAGAAATCGCTTTGAGGAATCTGAAATGCTCCTCCGCCACCGCGAGCAAGAGGCTCGGTTTTTCCTCCAACTCAGTTGCCCTCGCCCAGGTCCTCGCAGTGAAACAGTTTCCCCTCAGCCCGCGTCCGAAGAGCATTCTGTGAATCCGTCGTTTGGAAACTCAACTGGAGAGACCATTATCGTCGACCTTGGTTCAGAAAGCGAGGACGAGCATGAGGAGCCTACTGGGGAGGAGACCAGCGTCATGGCTGAGAACACGCCACAGAGCAAGCAACCTATCAAGAACAACAACCAAGATAGCATCAACACAAATGCCTCTTTCGCCGAGGAATCCTACTACACTCGCCGTCCACGACACGAGGGGGGATGGTGGTCCGTGTCCGAACAAACGTGGAAAATCTTGTCCCATGCGGAGAAGCAAAAAGCATCAGATATAGGGTGGGCTATGGAGACAGATGCAGGAATGAATCCGGCTTTCCCATGCACCCACTGCAGGCAGCTGGGGCTGGAATGCCGTATAAGCGCACAGCCAGCCGTTCTTCTCAACGGCTCGACGCGTCAACGCTGCTGCACATATTGTTTCGCCAACGCCTTGAGGTGTTATCTACTGGTAAGTCTTCTCCCACTTCTGCCAACGCACGCTTCTTCATCTGACCGCGACCGAAGGACTCTCCCGATCAGGAAGACACTACGTCTGTCTTGCCTGCTATACAGATATCAGATGCCCGCGCCAAGCTCAAGCGCGCTCGGGTCTCCAGCCCGGTGTCGCAACCGGCGGACGTGAAGGAAGAGGAGGATTCCACCGAAAACACGCGCACCTCGGTCGACCAGGGTCCTGTGCGCGGCTCCACGGCGGTTGCGCACTCTCGTTCCTCCAACTCCAAGAAGCTTCGGAGGATCTCCATTGACTTGTCGGGGGACTAGTAAGGTATTCAGCTCGAGGTTGTGAGCGTGCTGGAGGACGGGAGTAGCTGCTGGGATAGCTGGGCTGTGGTGAACATCGGGCGGAGGGCATGAAAGCCCAAACCTGCCTCTGGCTGAGGCGTCAGATCAGTAGCTATATGGATGCCAGTTCTCTGATTGCGCAAGTGTGTGTGAGGTGACGACGGAGTGCCCTTGTGTTGGCAGACACACGTGACGCCCGGTCGCTGCTTCCTCAAACACAAGAGGAAGGCACAACACTGTAAAAACTCTGCGCGCCGCAGCCAGATCTTCCTCCAGCTCTTCCTCCAGCTCTTCGCTGCTCACCGTCTCCGACCAGACACGCTGAACGAACGCACTTCCAACTGCGACCCGCTCTGCCAGACAACCTCGAGTAGTCGCTCATCCTGCCCGCTTCAGCCGACAGTCCACGCTCCACGTCGAACGGTTGGTCCTAACACTCCTCCTGTGCTTGAGTTGTTTCTATGACAATGGAGCAGACAATACACAACGCAGCCGCGTTTTCACATTCACTCGGTCGCGTCGAGGCCTTCCGTATCAACCGCCCGCCTCTCAGACTCTCAGTTTCCAGAACACAACCTCCACCCTTCTTCCATAACACTCGACGCCCAGCAGCCAAGCTCCGCGTCACGTCGCCTTCATCCAGACACCCATTCACGCCCTCGTCGGTTCTCAACAACCCCTTCCTCGAGCGTCGACTCCATCAACCTTTTCCAACCCACATCAACCTTCTCTTGAGGCGACCGCAAACCGTCACCACACACTCGACCTGCTCCTACTCACAAGAGTCTTCACTGAGGCGTCCGCAAACCACCACTGACACAGTCAACCTTATAACAACTTCTACTGAGGCGTTCGCACACCTTTATCGGCACAACATTTGTCGACCTACTCCGACTCCCACCTATCTTCACTGAGGCGTCCGCAAACCCCTACCGACACAGTCGACCTTCTCATCTCACATCCATCTTCTCTGAGGCGTCCGCATATCCCGACAGATACAGTCGACCTCCTTCAGCTCACACTCATCTTGCCTTGTCTCCCATCAGGCCATCGATACAGCCTTTCTTGAACCCAACCCCAGCACGCAACTCTCTAGCAACAATGGCTAAAGGAGCCCCCGCTCTTGGCTACCGCTCAGGGAAGATGACGGACTGCGCACATTGCGAGTCTACCTTCCCTTCTCAGGTCCTGTACATCAAACACGTCAAGGACGAGCACCCCGGCGAAAAGCCGTACCTCTGCCCGCTCGGATGCGGAGCGGGTTTCACCGGGAAGCAAATGGTAACGAAGCATGTGAGCACTGGCGTGTGCACTGGTGGTGCCACGCAGGATTCCAACGAATCCGGTCAGACGGATGCTCCCACGACTGACGTTCAGAATGCTGTTCCCAAGCGTGCCGTCCAGAAGACTGCCGCTGCGAAGGACGACCAGCAGCCCTCGGGGTACAAGATACCCGACCCCATCGTCATCACCGGCCAGCGTGGCGTGGGCGCGTTTTGCGCCCACTGTGACCCGACAGGGAAGGATCCGGCCTCGCACCACGCGACCGAGGCGGCCATGTGCATTCACGTGGGCAGGGAACACGGCCCCGATGCCAAGCCGTTTCCTTGCCTGCGTGGATGCGGGAAATGGTTCGCCTTAAAGTACTCGATGACCCAGCACGCAGAGAAGAAGTGCAGGGGGCCTGCAACCCTTAATGAGTACCTCAGGTACCAGCGGGCGTTGTCGGAGTTGCAGCAGGGGTTGCAGGTCCTCGGTGAGAAGAAGAGGAAGAGGGTGGTCGAGGAGGGGGAGGGGGAGCCGGAGCCGGCTCCGAAGAGGAAGCAGAGGAGGGGGGAGGAGGAAGAGGAGCAGCAGCAGCAGCAGCAGCAGAAGCAGCAGCAGAAGCAGCAGCAGAAGCAGCAGCAGCAGCAGGCCCCGGCGGGGCAGAAGAGGAAGAGGAGGGTGGCTGAGGAGGAAGAGGAGGAGCCCGAGGTGGCACCTTCCAAGAAGCTGCAGAAGAACAGGCAGTCGCCTGCTCTGTCGCCGGCCTCTGTGCCGACGCACAGCAGTGGGGGTGCTACCTCAGGACAGCCGGCGGCGGTACCGGTGGTGGTGTGCGAGGGCTGCAACATGCAGTTCACCAAGCGGGCCAACTTGGCCAGGCACCAGAAGAAGTCCTGCAAGGGCAAGCAGGCCGCCACCGCCGCCGCCGCCGCCCCGGTTGTCCAGGGCCACTCGACCAGCAGGGTGCTGGCCGAGGAAGAGGAGGAGAAAGAGGAGGACGAGGAGACGGAGGCGCTGCTTTTGGCGGCCTTCGAGGAGGAGAGAGAGGGGGAGGGAGAGGGAGAGGGGGAGGG